TATTTACAGTTTATGTAAGCTTCATGTGTTGTTTCAAGTATATTTAGGTGGCAACGTTACAGTGCCACACAGTTCTGCCTGGCAGAGTTAAGTCCTCTTAGATTTAAATGACCTCTTAAAACATTTGCGCTTTTCAGATGTTTATTGTAGGAGAACAAGCATGTGCATTTTGCACACAAACACAGCCGTATTGGTATTTCAATAACACCCATGCAACACTTCAGTCTCAAGCATTTAAACAGTTCTATCTAAAATTTTGAATACACAAATGTTTGTTGGGACAGAGGATGAGGTTGGCTTGCTCCGACAGCACAAACTACACTCTGCTATCCGCCATTGTCACTGTTGTTCATCTATCCGTGTGCACAAGAGATTTCATACCACTGCCAGGTGTTTCTAAAAACCTCCATTCTGAGACCTGGCTTCAAAAAGCTGAACTGCAATAGAAATTCTAGTTTCACTGAAAAACGTCATGTAAACAGGGCCTTAGTACAGMATTTTGAGTTCTTTTGTGTTTTTGTGTGGTTAAAAACATTAATAGAAAATATGCTGAATATACAAGGTTATTTTTAGAGATGACAAATATGATTGTTTTAAAAAAAAAAACTTTTCCATGTGGACAAGGCCTGAATTTTTCTGTCAGGTTTCATTGCTTTCAGCTTAGCGGTTTGTGATAATTCAGTCAACATGCTCACCTCCTTTCCTTTTCTGCAGGCCCATAAGGGGCCTCTTGTTTTCCAACTGAGATGTCATTGCAAATTGTCCTTTGATTGTTTAAGAAAGTGGGGGGAAATGTTTGTCAGCCGTAGGGGGTTTCTGATGTCTTGGGACTCAGAGCACCTGCTTTTTTCACAAGCTGCTGATGTGACAGAATCTTTTCAACAAAAAATTCTACATTAAATTTAGCCCTCCTTTTTTTAAACCACTTTAAAATAAGTCCACCCATAGTTGATTTTGTGTTAGAAGCATCATACTAACAAGCAAATAGACAGACAGTAAGCAATATTAAAATGAAACTTCTGTGCTTAACAACTACTTTCTGATTCAGAGACGATGAATGTTGGCTCTGGTTGGAGCTTTGAGGCCAAGCAAACTCTCTACATGCAGCTAAATAACATCTGCAAATCTGTTATGTTTGGTGCAATGTTCAAATTATATAGTCAAATCTTTTTTTTATTTTATCGACCCTATTTATATGCAAGTATCAGATAATATTCACTGGTTGAAGGCCTACTGTCCATCTACAACTGATGAATGTATGGAGTCTCCCCATTTAAGATGGTGACCACAACTAATTGACATCAGCATACACAAAAGTGACAAAACTTTGTCACATTTACAGATGTTGAGTGACAGTTTGATGTGGTAGTAGCTGAGAGTCACCCTCAACTTGTACTCACAGCTCTAACAGATCAACTGAAGTCTTTGACATGCAAGTTGGTGAGAGATAGACATTCCTTCAAGGAACACTAATGATATATTCATTAGAATCGATTTATTGTTATGGTTTCCTGAATAAATGTCTCACTCTGTTAGATATTCATCACTTTAGTTTAGTTTTTTTTTACTAGTAAGGTTTATTTTGTTGAAATTCCTGTTTGGTTGTCTGTATTTTTGCCAGCTTTGTTTCCCATTTTGTTTCCCATGAGTCTGCCTCACACCAAAAGTTTTGGTTTTCAAAGCACTTGATTAAATTTTTCTGGTAACACCTTACAATAAGGTACACAAAGGAACTACTCAGTACCTACTGAGTAATTACTAAGGACGCCAAAGAGGAGTTACTGAGTAGTTAATCATTACTTACTCAGTAACTGACCAGCAACTACTGTTTTTGTGTACCCTAAAGAAGGTGTCCAAAGTCAGTCCTCAAGGACCAGGAAGCATCTTTCCAAGTAGTTACTAAGGAACTAATTATTACGTAATCAGTACCTGAACAATATACATCTTTTTTTTCCCAAATATTTTTAGAACTTTCAAGCAGGTATTTACAGTTTAGGATACCATATACGAAGAGTGTTTTATTAGTTTAAAATGAGGAAAAACAAAAAATAAAATTTGTTTTTAGAGGTTTAGTGAGCAAGAAAAACAGATGTACACAACGAAATTATTTGGCCTTAAAAAATGTGAAATTTGGACAGTATAGAAATATTTATAGCAAAACGTTTACAACATTTCTTTTAAGAATTAATCATCAGCCTCTGTTTCATTCCTGCAGCTCTGATGAAGTGGTGAGCAGGTTCACAATGGTCCCTCTCTTAAATATAGTGTGTCTTCTGCTAATAGTTCCTAAGTAGTTCCTCTTTAGTGTCCTTAGTAACTATAGTTACTGAGTAGTTCCTCAGTAGTTAACCAATGCTTGTGTACTTTATTGTAAAGTGTTACCCAGTTGATACAGAGCCTAGCTGTTTTGTTCAAAAAGAAGCTTTATGTAGAAAATTGTAGTTTTGAAAAGCAAAATCGTGGAAACATACAGTATTTTGTGTTCAGATGAGTCTACATTTTAAGTTTGTTAGCAGTGTGTGTGTGTGTGTGTGTGTGTGTGTGTGTGTGTGTGTGTGTGTGTTGGAGGGTGGACAGACTATCCAGGCTGTTATCAGTGACAGCTGCAAAAACCAGTGTCTGTCTGTGGTTGTATACAAAGCCACAGTGACCGTGACACAGGGAAACAAATGGCAGAGCAGCTGAAACCCAGTTTTCAGCAAGAACAGACACAGAATCTTAAAAAAGGCAATAAGTCTCCTTAATTCCTAAATGTTTAAAAGTGTAAATAAAGGGAAGGACAATACAAGACAATGGTAAAAAAAAAACCTTTCAGCCATCTGATAGCCTCATCTGAAAAAACTCTGACAGAACAATGTTGTTAGTGTTTCTTTCTAGGTTGGATTTTATATTTATCTTGTCTCTCTTTGTACTCTGAGATTTGAGCCTTTAAAGAAGTAATCTGTTGGGTTTTCTGTGGTCTGTTAATGATGTGAATGTGGAAAAATATACAGTCTAATATAATGTAATTAGATCAGTCAAACCCTGGTTTTAATCTTTTCGAGCCAGTCGCTTACAAGACAACACAAGACAAGAAAAAACAAAAACTGCGTGTTGCAAGTTTACTGCACGAGATTACAAATCCCATCTGTGGCCAGAACTGCTCCAACATGAGCCCTGAGTCACTGTTCTGAAGTTCCCTTATATGAAAGATGGTACAGATTATGCAGTGAACGGAGACTGGAAAATAAAAACAATATGCTGCCAGAAACTTGGCTTCAAAGGCGACTTTCGACATGTTTTACACGCATTAATCTTTTTGAGTTTGGGAAAATGACATTTATTTTCATTTCAGCCGCAGAAGTTTGTCATTGTGCAACTGATCAAATTTCCGCTTGAGAATTTATTCCCGTCTCGTAATGACCTGTCGTGATCTCCATGCACGCGTTACACTGGAAGGCTTCTCTTKGTTTCTGTCATTTTGAAGTACGAGAAGAAAGTTTATTGTCGTATAAAACTTTGGAAAAGTACTGTCATGTTGTAATGAGATAAATGTTAACATTTTCCTCAAACCCCTGCAGTTAAATTTGAAATCTGAACTCTGAAATATGTCAGTGTGGACATATTTCTTTGTGTTAGAACACATGTTGTGGACAAAACAAGAAGCTGGTGCTAAAAATGATTCTTTCTCTGCGGGACTTCTGGAAAACCAGCGTAGAAACAAACAGTTATTTAAATATCATCAGAAATGTTTTTATTTATTTGAGAAACACTGGCTTAGAGTGATTCCAGTCGGTTCAATCAGCCCTAAAAAATGAGAATGAACATTACACTAGAAAAAAAACCTCTCCACACTGCTTCCTGCAGGCCATTCTTGATAAATACAACCCTGACAAAACTGAAATGGATTTACTGGTTAAACAGTTCTTTAAAAACATGGAGCAAATAAATAAATAAATAAATAACCTTCTTCAGAACATTCCCAAGGCTAGCTGTTTAATTATATTTAATCAGCTGACTGTTTTTTTTTCTTTTACTCTGACATATTTAGGTATAAAATCTGCTTGTGTGCAGTCACATAAGTTCAGTAGGTGATTATTCATCAATGCACTGAACGGATTGCGTTCAGACTACCAAACGTTTGCAGATAAAGGGGGTCCTGACTGCCTCTGAAGGTAATTTTAGTGAAAACACTTTCAGTGCACATTGAGGCCGTTCACACCGTTGCACCCTGTTGCAATCTGATAAAATGACAGTTTTTAGTGGCAGTTGTAAACATGCTCACAGACTCCCGATCACAACATCCAAATGCATCTCACTAAATTTAAAAAAAAACAAGCTCATTATCCAAACAAAGATTTAAAAGATGAAGATCCATCAAGTAATTTAAACAAAATGTTTCTTGTTTTATATAGCTTATGCAAGAGTGTGTCCGCTTCTTTTTCACTCAGCCTTGTTCTCACATTCTGTTCACGTCTGATCTAAAAGTTGGTGGCAAAAAAAGAAAGCCCCTCGCTCCTCCTCTTTGCCCCACAGTGAACATATGTTCAGCGATTTATTCTTTATAGCTACAAATATTTAAGTTAAAGCTTGTACAAACACTGTCGAAACGAGAGCTTGCTTTTATGCTTAATTTCCATTCTGGAAACAATCCAGTGCTTCTTCAGTCACTCTAAATAAAAAGGCTCACATTTGACAGCAGAAGATAGAAAAGCTAACTCATTATTTATTAGCTATAGTTAGCCATTGTATGGTAAT